GTGCCGGGGCCGGCAGCTCCCCTTTTGCTCCAAAAAGGAAGGGGGAGACTCCAAAACCGGGCAGTGTTAAAGAAATCCCACTTCAGCCACCCCAAAACGCCAAGGCAGCACCACGAGCGTTGCACCTGCAGAGGTGCTGATGGGTCCCAGGGCATCCTAGTGCTGGCTGGTGACTCCAAACCAGTAACGGTTCCCCGCGTTAATTTGGTGCGCTGGGCAGGTTGCGCACACTTGGGTTGGTTGCTCTGCTCTGTGCCTCAGTTTCTCCTTCTGCCAAAGCAGCTCTCCTAAGCCACTGCAAAACTGTACTGACATTTTAGAGTGGAAAACAGCACCCAGAAGAGCCTGTGAGCATTACCACTGCAAGGTGACCATCCCCGTGGCAGTGCTAAGCTGAGCCTTCCTCACAGAGCAGTACGAAGGGAGCTCCCAGTGCAGACTGGTCCCACTCCAACCCCAGCCTGGGCTCACATCGCAGCCATCTCTGCCTCCTCCAACACACTCCTCCTGTTAAAGCGAATGCCTTTCTGAGAGCAGCTCAGAACGGGAAAAGCAGAACCAAATAATAACATGAAAAATTTGAGTTGAATTATTGTGCTTGGGGTTCGGTTTTGGGGTTTTTTTTTTTTTCTTTATTTGGAGCTTCGCACCACTCAGAGCATCTCAGAGATGGGCAAAGGATCGGGTGCCCCTTTTAAAACGAGTAAAGCTCTTGCTGCCCAAGCATCCTCTGCCTGTGTGTGTGTGTTGCTCTTAACGTTAGCTGCAAAAACACCGCCTTGACAAACTGACCCCCTGCCCCGCACGCTGCTGGTGGGTGTGAAATGCCTGCAGGATTTCTTACCATTGATGGCTTTTTTACACCTCTAAATACATCCTGAATTCATTTAGAACCCAAATGCCTGTATGTGCCTGTGCGGCAGATTTATAAGCTGGGCGTGATGGGGGGACACACGCGCACGGGGATGGGACCGGAGGGGTATGGGTGGGTGTCTGGGGGTCGGTGGGCAGCACTTTGGGGCTGATCTAAGAGTAGCTGGGAGAGGAGATACATGTGCAGAATAGTGCCCGAGCCAGGCTGGGAGCCCAAAAATGCACCTGGTTATAGGGGACAAGTCCCAGGCATGTTGGTGTCTGTGGGCAGGGATTGTCTG